GCCTCCTCTCCGTGCTCCTTGCCTGCCTTCCTCACCTGGCCTCCTCTCCGTGCTCCTTGCCTGCCTTCCTCACCTGGCCTCCTCTCCGTGCTCCTTGCCTGCCTTCCTCACCTGGCCTCCTCTCCGTGCTCCCTGCCTTTCTCACCTGGCCTCCTCCCTACAGTTCCCCGTTTGCCCTGACGCAGCACCCATGCCTCCGCCCCTGTGTGTCACTACCAGTTCCATGTGGGAAAACACAATTACTCCAGCAACGAGTCACACAGGACGCCATTAAACACATTCCTGTTCCTTCTTAAAGTGTGTATGTTGGGGGGGGGGGGGGATAACTGTAGCTGATTCATCAGCTTGCCATCAGAAGCAACACCTGCAAACATCCTATCCACAAATCCAGAGTGGAGATTTATTAGCATGAACTCCTCAGCCTGGGGGGGTCCACCTTACCCTCCCTTTACCTAAGACCCCCAACATGCTCTGTCTGTCTGTAGGTCCAACCTTAATGGCTTCCCCGCACCAATAAAGCCTCCATATTCCATACACCAGCATGTCACTTCAAGGGTGTTATTGACGAATGGTTCGGACCCATCCCCACCCTGAACCCCCTCCCCCAGGCTGTAAATGAAATACAACAATCAGAAACGATATTTCCCGATAAGTAGGGGCCTCTGTCAGATTCCGCAGTAAAATGTCACTGCCGTGGCCACTGTCTCTCGGATTGGTATAAAAACACCATCATTTAACCAGCTGTAATAAAAGAAGCTCGAGACGAGCAGGGGATGCATTTTATAGAAAGCGGGATAACGGGAATATCGTAAAACGAGATGGGATATTGACCTAAGGGTGTCCGTCTCTATAAAGAAATGCAAGGCTTCACTTGTGAAAAGGCAGAGAAATGCGTTCACCATCCGTCTCTCCTTTTTTGCCTTAAAAACTGCCTGGTTAACTCATTCCTTAATGTAAATTGTTCCAGAACATGCACGAGAAAGGCAGCCACGCTAAAAATAAAACATGCTTTAAAAAAAAAAAAAAAGCAGTGCCCGCGGTCTCTGGGGCGGGAAGGGGAGTCGATGGGGGGCGGAGCGGGGTCGGGATCGGACGTGATATTTGTATTCACCTCGTGTCCTGTCAGAAGCTCTCCCCTAAAACCTTTATCGCCGTATCTGCATTTGATAAGGGCTACAAACGCAGAGGGAGCAGGGAGCTGCCAGCAAGGCCTCAGCTCCCTCTGAGGAACCAAGGAAGGGAACCGAAGCGACAGAAGGAGGGAACCGAAGAGCAGAATCAGAAAAGCCCCCCTCCCCCACCCCCGCTCTCGGGAGCCTTTGTTTTTGCTTTATTTTCTTCCTCTCTCCTTATCGGGCTGGTGAATCCAACACGCCCATTACCCGTGGTCCCCTTCCGGGACGCTCCGCACCTGGCTCCGAAGCTTGGTTCAGCTCCGCGGTCGTTACGGCACACGTAGACGAGGACTGGAGCGCTCTCAGACGTGCCGACGCCACAGTTTAGCCGGGCGGGTGGAAGGGCGCGAGGGACGGGGGAATTAAAAACCCTAAAATCCTCAGCATGTCGATATGGGTGCTCTGCTAACAGTTAAGCGTTACTATACACTGTGTCATGCTGGGAGTGTTAACGGGCCGATCGTTTAAGACACCAGAGGCGAACACTTAGGCAATTTGCGGTGCACTGCCATCCCCCTCATTAAAAACCACGAGCTCTCCTTCCCTGCTGGAGTCTTTTCTTCTCTTACTGGTAAGGCGGCTGCCGGCGATCATCTCCAAATTGTTTCCTTTAATGGATCTGGACTTTGGGTCGAGTCGATTAAGTTAAAGAGGCTACCCTCGGTCCTGACAGACGCGCCGCCATCGAACATCTGGCCCCGTCGCTCCCCGGACTGCGATCGTGCGAGAGCAGCGAGAACAGCCAGGCCACCCGCTCTGCAGAGAGCCGCCCCCCCCCCCAACTTTTACTTAAACCCTCACACTCACGGCAGTGAGGTCTCCACACGGTGCCGCTTTAAAGCTGAGTGATAAGAGAGCATGCGGCTCATTTTTAAACCTACCACCGCTGCTTCGGATGTGTTACACTCATCAAATGAACCCGACACAGAAACTCTAATTTTTTTCCAGCAGAGAAGCCAGCTGCATATTGGTACGATCCACACAGAACTCCTTATAGGGGGCCAAACAACAGAACTTGCAGTGGTCTCACCTTTATAGGGAAATTAACCCCCCCACCACCACAGAGCTGTCACCTGCTCCGAACCTCTATCAGCTTAAGCAAACCATTTACCCAAAGTAAATATTGAGTTTCAATTAGATGATCTGGCAGACCGCAGAGATTCGGCGCACGTGATCCGGAGCGCTGACAGCCTGAGATCTCGCTCCTTTTTCACGTGGACAGGTTTGAATGACCCGCCGCACCCGTCTGCCAGTTACCCCCTGACGTCCCATATCTGACCACCGGGTACGAGGCTTCATTTGTGCCGCTAGACACTGGGGGCTGTGTTTCATTACAAATTCACATCATGGCCCCCTTACTGCAGAGAGAATTTTGCAGCATTGATCTACGGTACGGCGCCTTACCTCTGCTGCTGGATGTCATGTTTGCACGTGCATCATGTTAACATGCGCGAGAGACACTGAGTTTTAAATCCAACCCCACCCGCTAAAAAGTCAACATAGGGGCACTGAGAGCCCAGGTCTTTCACCATGCGAGTCCTTCTTCCCGCAACAGGAACGGGCCGGCAGTGCATTCATTGTTCAGCGTACGTCTATGGCAATAACTTCGGTGCAAGCCGCTCATTCTGCAATTGCGATGCAATCGTAACTTGGTATGACAAAAAAAAAAAAAAAAAAACCTCAAACAGAAAAGAAAAACCTCAACGTTGAGCGGATGGTGGCGTTACCAAGGCAACGCAATGCCCGTTGCCATGGCAACAGGCTTTCATATACAGAAAAACCATAGATATCTACACGACCGTATCAGACGTGAAATGTGACGCTAAACTGCTGTATTTTCAGTTCCATCTGAATGGGGGAACAGTTTAACGCATGCAGCAAAATGAGCAGGAGACCAGGCGTCTAATCGGAAGCTCATGCCCCCCTTTAAGCTGCAAATCATAGCCAGTTCAGAGTTTTTTATATTCAGCATCTTACAACTATGTCGCATTAATACTTTACAAGATTATGTAATTTTTTAACAGTTACAACAAGTCCACTGTGAAGTGAAACTTAATAATATCATTGCTTCAGTCCCAAGACTGCTGACACTTATTAAAAAATTGCATAGAATTTTGTTGATCTCTGACGACTTTTGCAGACTTAACTTGTGTGTTAGGGTGCAAAATGGAAGCAGATGCTTGTGCGTTTCTGTACAGACTGCAGCAAATATTAGAGAGATTAACTTGTATGTTTTTGTGCAAGTGCCAAAAAAGTACCAGCAAATAACCCGAATATTAGCTTTTTCTAAGTGCCAAAGTGTGAAGAAGTGAGTGCTGGATGAGGATTGAGTTTGGCTTCTCAAGATGGTGGGGCGCCCACCCAGCCGCTTGGCCGTACACCCGCCCTCCAAAAAACACGTACTCGGGGTCCTACTAAAGAAGGACTAAATGAAGTAAAAGATGGGGGAGAAGGAGTTGGAAGCCTGATGCAGGGGGGGGCGGTAGTTGTTTGTTTTTGAATCAAAGAAACGAAGCAAAACAGATAATTAGCTAGTTAGAAAATAAATTCGAGAAGCCACTTCACAGAATGAGGCTCGGAAATGAAACAAACGTTGACATGGAGACTATTTGCTTTTTTAAAATCATAATCGCTCTTCAGACTTCTGGTATGTGAATATACTCCAGAGCCTGAATCGCCGGGACGCGAGAACCAGAAGAAACAGGGAAAAGGATTCATTTAACATGCTTATAAGGCTAACAGTTTGAACAGACTCACTCAGCCTTTTGCATTAATTGGCGACGCGGTGTAAACCCCCCACCCCTGGACCGAGCTCCGCTCATGACAGAACCTGAAAAAGGGAAAGTCTCCGGGAACCTTTAATTCTGCAAATTTGCTTCCCTGCCTGCCGCCCCCACTGGAGGTGTAAAATTAGCCCCCACCAAGGGATGAAACAGTTACCGATCGAGTGAGACAAGCGTCACACGAGGCAATCAGACGATGCCGGTCCGGCGGGACTGACACGGTACACGCAAGGACAGCCCCTGGCTGACTTCCCCGCAGTCTCACCACCGATATTTTTCATGACCTTCAGCGGGCGGACGTGAGGGAAGGAGAGC